ATGCAACCCACCGAGGTATAGATAAAAATGTTTCCTTGGTAATAAAAACGTGCCCTGCGAAAAATTTTTAAAAACGGACAACGGAAATACGTGCCCTAAAGTTCAGTCAGTAGGAAACTTAATATATTTTAATGTCACTTGATAAATGTCGATTAAAACAAAGAGATTTTGTTTACTTTCGAACACGATTTCATGTGTTGAATGTGTTGAATCAAATCGGTATTTTTTAATGCGGGTTTTGGGTAGGTACATATAAACAAGATAACAGAAAAACTAGTTATGTAGATTTTCGGACTTAGCGAATGATACATGGGAATTGTATGGTGTGGTATTGCCTCTACATATTAAGGTGATGTAATATTATGGCAGATTTTATTACAAGAACTCATCACAGGGACAATTCATCACAGCATTATTCATTACATGAACATTTCATTACAGGGACAATTCATCACAGAATTATTCATTACATGACCATTTCATTGCAGAGACAATTTATCACAGAATTAATAATTATACGTGCATTTCATCCCAGTGTTATTTATTCGATGGAGATTCATTCAATATTTTGTGTTTGGTGTTAGTGTTTGGTTAATATCGTTTCGCTCTGTATTTTTTTTAGCTACAGTTCCTGTTGAACTATGCTGATACCTGTGCCCCTTTCCTCTTACCATTATTGTGCCTTATTTCATAAGTTAGCAACTGTTTTTATCGTATTCGTGCATAGAATTGCTCCTTCCCCACCAGTACCCCGCTAAAAACTCAGCGGGTTGCTAACTTTTTGTCAATTCCCTTTGTGCTTATATTTATTCGGTTGACTCTTTGCGTTGTTGTTGTTGCACACTGCAATTGCATTACATTATGCTTTATCACAATACTGGCGAATGGCAAACTTCGCCGAATTTGGCGATGCATGGCCGTCCACCCAAGGCGAATTTTATATAAAGTGGTAGCCAAGGCGAATTAATATAAGGTAATAGCAGGAGGACAAAAACAAAAATTTACATGTATTTTGTTTTGCTTTGGCGGCATAAACTGTCAAAATCTGTAAGAGTGTGTGTAGAAATTCAAACAAAATTTTTCAATTTGATATCAGAAGCCGTGCGGCGAAACACATACACAAAATCAGCTGAGCTAGTAACACCACCTTATATAAATTCGCCTTGGTGGTAGCGGCAGCCCAAAAACAAAAACTACACAAACAAAGTAGAAGCACATTAGCAATCATTACAAAACAAAATTACAGCAAACACATCATGTTGACAAACATAACGAATTCGCCTTGAAATCAGCAGCACCGGTAACCAGCGTTGCCAGGTTGACGTTTTTAACGTCATTTGGACGTTTTTTATATCCTGTTGACGTTTGGACGTTTTTTGTCTAAAAAATTAGGTTTTTTAACTTCCCAGTAATATTTCTTTGTTACTAAATCTTGTAAGTAGAACTGATTTTGAATTATTTTCTTAATAAATCTTTACAAGCTTTGTTTTTTGTAGCAGATGCTCAAATATATTTATTCTTTCGACACAGATGACTTAACCCTTATTTAAGCGCATAAAGAAAATGACACAATTAGTCGCATGGGGCCCCTTATTGAAAATGTAATGAACGTAAAAAGGCTGCTATTGCTATGCTATTGCTACGTTCCTTCTTAACAGAACGTAATTTAGCTTTTTCGACAACAGACCACTTATTTATTAACAAGAAGAAAAAAAAATATATCAAAAATCAACGCGATTCTTTAGCACCTTAAAACTTACACATTATTGCCCTGGAATTTAATGGGCATCAAAAAAAATCTGAATAATCTGAGTAAAAAGTTGAAAATCTAGCTGATATTTTGCCAATTTTTTATAATTTTTGCACAAAGTTTGAAATGTGGATTTATATTTTGTTTGTTATATAATGAGCTAGGCTTTTATGGAAAAATAATAAACATTAAATAAACAAAAAAGAAACAGCCGAGATTGATGACTTAATGAGCTGATGACAAGTGTATGTATAAAATGATTTTTATATTAACGATCTCAAACCAGTTTGGAATGAATTTTCAATGTGAGCAAATGACATTTTAATATACCTTACGTACATATGTACCTTTGTATACAATGCAAGTTTAATAAGAACAATTCTTTGTGCATACATTTGAAAAAGACGTTTTTGGGTAGAAAATGACGTTTTTTCAGGCCAAGAGGGACGTTTTCTCATGCCGAAGACCTGGCAACACTGCCGGTAACACTCCCTTATATGAATTCGCCTTACGTTCACCGTTTGCTCTGCTATTTCGCCTACTTAAACAGAATTAAGCTGATGCCAGATGAAACTTTGTAGCTTTGCGTGATGTTTATTACTTTGCCAGCAAAGCGCCAGACGCAAAAGGTATGCCACAATGAACGCCAAGAAAACAATTTTGTGCTGCTATTTTACTCGTCAAAATTGCAGTGGATTTTGTATATTTTGCTTTAAAAATATCAGCTATGTGATTAAGTTTTATGTTTCTACATGAAAACTCGAATTTGGACGAAGCAAAATAAATATTAAACCGGCTGATTGTCAAAGCGCGCAAACAGATGGGAGTTGGCCATCTTTTCGCTTCGCGCTGCAGCTTCAACGATCTATGTGGCATGCTTTGTGCATTTTTATACAATTCATCTTATCTGTCAAAGCGAATCTGTCACGTAAAGCGCAGCAAAAGTTTTATGTGGCATCAGCTTTAAAGCTGTAGCGAAAACAGCTGATACCATTTTGTCCCTTTTATAATTTGGGTGACCATTAGCGTGGGCCGAAAATCCGCTTTTTTAGAATTTTGATTGGTAAAAGCAAAAATATGGTTCATTATGCTCTAAAAACAATCTGTGTGAAAGATGACAATTTTTGGTCAATATCTTAGGCTTGCCCAAGTCCATTAAAGTTCAGTGTGCTCAAAAAATAAAAATTAATTAATACTTTTTTTTAAATAAAATTGCAAGTATATTCGAAGGTATTAGTCCTACATAATGAACCATACTTTTGCTATTACCAATCAAAATTCAAAAATAGGGGACTTTCGGCCCACGCTAGTGACCATATGTAGAAAAAGCGAAAACAGATTAAAAATGAGGAAATCATAACCAATATATATATAAAAGAAAGATAAATTATTATAAATTATTTTTTTATATTAAGCCAGATTTAACCAATCGATAACTATATTGTGCAACCAACAAAAATAATTCGTGCTATATGTTGTGTTCTTCTAAAATTTTGAAAGCAAAAAAAAAATATGGGCACCTTTGGCATGTACAGCCGTCATCGTCCAGCGGGGCAATAGAAATAAATCTATTCCCCAAAGCGCCGCCGAGCGAATTTCGCATTTCGCTTTGGCTGTGTTCAAATTGACATGGTTACGCGCGTTCTAATTTTGAAAGCGGGAATTTCGCTGTGGTGAGTTCGCCGGCTCGTAGCGTTTCTGAGAAATCTAATTAAAAACGAAAGGATAACAGCCAAAAATTTCTCAAACATCTCTTCCCTATTTATACTTTCGCCACTGTATGCACATGACTAAATAAATATGTTTGTTTTTGACTGTTAAATCCAGTATTTGTGGGCTTTCTCTTTGAACATTTTTTTCTATTCATGTTTTTTTTCAATTGATCTTAATTTTATTCTAACAATTTTTATATCGATTGACACTTGTTGGTTTCTTTAAATCAACCTCAGATGAATTTCAAATGTAAAATTTAAACCTCGTTTACAATTTGAGAATCGTTTGAGAAAAACATTTTATATGCTTGTATCGAAATCCTGTTTTAAGCATTGACTTGCTTTTATTGAAATCCGTTCTGTCGTTGATGTTATGTTGTGGTGATGTTCATAAAAAGTAAATGAAATAATAGAAACAAACTAGAAGTGGGTAAAAATTTCAGCTGATTTTTTAAAAATCAGCATGTTGTAAGCGTCGTAAAACAATTTTAACTTTACTCACATATTTGTATTCGTACGTCCTATTATAATCTATAATGATTTTTATTTTTCGAGTTTGACAAATAAAAATCAAAAGTAATAACACTGGATCACAAATTTTAATTTTGAGTTTGTTCTCCAGATGCCACTATCCAATTTGTACGTAGAACCGCTCGCTGATTCCGAAAATCGAGTTAATTTATTTTTGTATGGATACGTTTTTGATATATTTGCAATTTACCGTTATTGAGCTTAAAAAAAAGAGTGGTTCCACTTAATCAAGTATATCTCTTTAATTAAATAATCGTAATGCGAGATATAGTAAATGAAAGAAAATAGTCATTATTTTTATTCGATAAAAATCGATTTTTATTCGTTAAACTCGAAAAATAAAAATCATTATAGCTGTAATTAAATTATGTAGTAATGAATTTTGTCGTACTTAATTACGTTGTAATAAAATTTGCTGTGATGAATGGTCCGGTAATAAAATGGGGTAATTAATTGTGCCATAATAAGTAGAGGTACGATCGTACACCGTCTCCAAAAGAGTCACAACTCAAAATAATACGTTTGTCAGAAAATGCGAAAAACTATTTCTTAGCACATGATAATCATATGGACAAGGGAGACTTTACCTAAGGTTTTTTTGCTCTGCGTACATTTTTAGCGCATAATCTAAAAAATGCCAAATTTTGAGTTGTGACTCCTTTGAAGACGGTGTGCGATATGTATAATTAATCCCTTTTCACTACTTTTCTATTATTATTTAGTCATAATTGATGATTGTTTTCTGAGAAGACACAGGTTAAAGACTTGTAAACAAAAATCAGAGTTGTTATGTTCAGAATAATAAGTTAAAAGTCTTAGTACAAAAAATATACAGCTTTTATAGAGAGACAACGAAAAAATGCAAAATTTCTACAAAATTTCCGTTGTTCCTCCTTAATCAATTCTTGATTCCATCAATTATTCTCAAATCGGCTTTAGATTGTTCATTAATATGTTTATTTAAATCATTGTACCATTCTTTAATATAACGTCTTTACTATTTACAGCAAATGGTCCGATAGGCGCCGATGGTCATATTGGAACATCAAACATTCCTGAAACAATAAACGGCACAACCATTGTTGGTGGAATCAATCAACAAAAGACAGCAACTAATACGACTACACAAAAGCGGCCGCAAAGACGAGGGGCGAAACCACAACCTGACCGACCTCAAAGAGTTTTATTCTGTTTAGGATTAAAAAATCCACTTCGCGGCTTATGCATCAACATAGTTGAATGGAAGCATCCTTTTTTAATTACCAGGAGAGGATATAATTTTTTCGGCTAAACACGCATCACTAGTTTACTGGTATTAAACTAAGGAAACGTAGACAAAAAAGTTGTAAAAAATAGGGAGTTCACAGTGAGTTGTATACTGTCGTCATCAGAGGCGTTAAAAATACTTTTTAAATAACATTTAAATACAAAATACAAATGCGTCACAAAAAAGTATATAAACTACTATTACAAAAAGTATTTAAATTCAAAATACAATACATTTGAAAATAATTTAGAAATCCCTCCTACAAACAAAAGGCCGTAACTATCCAGCCAGAACAATATCCGGAAACGTATCCGAAAATGAAAACAATATCGTATAAAAACCTGATGTTTCATCCGTTTTCCGATTCCGTTTTCGGACGTTTTTCGGATCAATTGCCCCTTAAAGTGTTCTGCCGAAACGTATGTGCAGAAAACTATCGAAAATGGTTGTAAAACGGATGCGCTTTCGGCTGTTTTCCTGAAGTTTGTCTGATTCAATTTTTCGTTGAAAACGATTTCATTATGAACTTCACAGAAACTTTTTCATAGTTACTGGAAACCAAACAAAAAACAATTTTAAGATTCAGCAATTATTTCAATTTGAATAAATAATTTTAATGTGTTGCTTCTGACGGAATTCGAACCTAGGACCCCCTGAAAGCTAACAAATAGTAGCACACTTCTCTGTACACTCATGTTATCAAATGCTCAGTTTGAACAAATATTTTAAAATTATTGTTTTGAAANTGGGACCTCCTGAAAGCTAACAAATAGTAGCACACTTCTCTGCACACTCAGCTACTGCCGAATATGTATACATGTTTTGAAATGCTCAGTTTGAACAAATATTTTAAAATTATTGTTTTGAAATGAGATGATGACATTTTTCGGATACGAAAAATTAACAAATATGGAAATCGTTTTCTGAACGTTTTTCGGAAAAAAGTACGTTTCTCTGCTGGCTGGATAACAGAAGCTTCAAAAATTCTTTATTTTTCAATGTTATTGTGGCTTATTAACATTTTATTTTTAATATTTTTATTGAGCTTTGTACCGCTATTGTTTATTAGGAAAAATTGAAAAAGCAACAAAGTCTAAGCGGTAGAAGTTATAGCAGCTATTTCGAAGATCACCACGTCTCCTCATCAGACTTCTTTTTTCTGGACTTCGGCAGGGATCGAACCTGCGTATTCGATGTGCAAAGTCAGAAGCGTTAACCACTGAGCTATGTACATCCCGTAAACTCTTGTTGCTAATTCATTTTCCTTATTCAACCAACTACTATCAAGTGCAGCTGATTTGCCGCTATTTAAACTCGACAGCGTGGTTGTTGTTGTCAATTCTATACATCCATTTGCTTATTTGCTTTTTTGTATAGTTTCAGGCAGGCTCTTCCTAAACTATGTATTTGTCAATGTTATTGTGGCTTGTTAACATTTTATTTTTAATATTTTTATTGAGCTTTGTACCACGATTGTTTATTAGGAAAAATTGAAAAAGCAACAAAGTCTAAGCGGTAGAAGTTATAGCAGCTATTTCGAAGATCACCACGTCTCCTCATCAGACTTCTTTTTTCTGGACTTCGAGGGATCGAACCTGCGAATTCGATGTTCAAAGTCAGAAGCGTTAACCACTGAGCTATGTACATCCCGTAAACTCTTGTTGCTAATTCATTTTCCTTATTCAACCAACTACTATCAAGTGCAGCTGATTTGCCGCTATTTAAA